ATCCTGCTATTTGGCAGGGAGGGACATGCCAGGTTGTTCAATAAGATACTAGCTTCAAATGAGTAGTATAATCTCAAAGGGATTAGAAAATTGAGGCAATATGCTCAGAGGTTAATTGAATTTGAAATATTTGTAAAACAAGATAGAACATTTTCAAGGACTTATATATAAGTTGCTTCTGAAATATGATTCAGAGATTAAATGTGTTAAAAATGGCATGATCAAATGGATGCTGAACCTAAACAGGATATTATTCAACAATGGAAAACAGATATCAAATTCACTGTGAATGATACACTAAGAAAAAATTGATGCAAATTGTTCTGATGAGGTTAGATTATCCCAGTGATAATGATTAAAATGGACAATACATATTCAGAAAATTATTCAAAATGTACAAAGCGAGTTGGAATATTTTCGTATATCTGGAGGCTATGTCATAAAGCTTATTTATTTTGCAAGATGAACATTGCAGGATGAAGTAAATCCTAAATGTTAACTTTCTTATCTACAAGGTATTTTTCTGTTTAGCATCATCAAATCTCATATACTTACAAAATGCACTGATCAGGCCTTGTATAAGTTACTTTTTACGGAAAATCACATATGGTCATATAATCACCTCAGAAATACCTGTTTAAGTTAGCCAACAGACACCTTACAAGATATGTTTTCAAGTCAGAAAGATTGTCTGTCCCAGTAAAGTTATCTTTTCATGTACTGTAATTAAGAATAAAACAATTGTACTCCAAAAACAAAAGCTTTGGCTTAACTGAGTTGTAAAGCTAAACAAAACAGTAAGACTGAAAAATAATGAATCACTGACCCTAAGTTTTCATTTTAAATGGGTTAAGGAATTAGTCTGTGGGGGGGGGGGAACTGGACAAAATGTACAGTAGTGGCCAAAATTGTGGAAACCTTTTGGTAAAAATGAATTTTTGAGGTTTGATGTCTAATAACACCACTTTTTTGGGAATAGTACCATAAAATTATATATCAATGGAAAGATAATTAAATCAAGAATGTAAATGCAACAAAGTTTGTTCAATTATCTGTACTGTATTCTATGAAAAGTCATAGCCAAATAACCAGAAAAAGGAAGCACATCTTGCTTAGGTTGATATCAGGTAGCTTTCCTTCATCTGATTGTAGCCAATGAGCATGAGTGTTTAGAGAGCCAATCAGGTGTCATCTTGTTTTGGCAATGAGCTAATCAGATCACAGTAGGATTCAGTTATTGATGTCATGTATTGAAGCTGAGAGGAGGACATTTGTCAGTGTGTTATGTGATCGCTAGTTGGTTGGGTTTTTTTGTGTTCTTTCATTTAGTGAGCTTGTAAAATGTAATAAAATTAAAGTAATGGTACAAAGAGTTGACTGGTTGCCCAGAAAGCAATGTAAAATAGTATTATTAAGTGAACAAGGCTACAGTTATAAAGAAATTAGAAGAAAAATTGGTGGAAACTTAACCAAAGGTGGCATTTCTACTGTACACTTTTCCCAAAAGGTTTCCACAATTTTAGCCAGTAAAGTTAAAAAAAAAAAAGACCCAATATATCTTATAGTATTTAAAATAAAGAAAACATAACAAAAAGGAGAAGAAAGAAGAATACATTTCTATTTAATGTCAATATGGAGTTAATTCAGGTCTGAAACTGTCATTATGTCTAGTCGGTATAGAAACATATGACCTTATCTTCTCATTTTTAAAATATAAGGATTTTAAAAAATAGATAACTTACTCATTTCCTGCATCTATTCCCTGGTGTGTGTGTGTGTATATATGTGTGTGTACATACACACACACACACACTCACACATATACATACACATACATATCTTGCGCACAGTCACCTATGCCCTCGTCACCTCCCGCCTGGACTACTGCAATGCTCTCTACATGGGGCTTCCCTTGAGGAGCACTCGGAGGCTTCAGTTAGTCCAGAATGCGGCCGCGCAGGCGGTGTTGGGAGGGACTCGTCGCTCCCATGT